ACCCCATCGGAGTCTTGGGGCGCCCTGGGACGCTCAGACGTTGGCGAGGCTCTACGCCCTGGATTCTCTTTGGCGAGAAAGCTTTCCGTACGTGCCTCTGTACGTCGTCCACTTACGCTGACCAGCCATGCGCTTTCTGGTCTCCTCACGCACGCCTCCGCGCCGCCGGAGGGTGGCCTCGAGGCGCACCTCGCCTCCAGCACAGCGTCCTGCATGCTGCCGCGAGGTTCTAGAAGGCTCCGAGCCTCCGCGCGCTGAGAACACTGGGGGCTCTGGGACCTCAAAGCGCCCCACCGCCGCCCCTGGGGGCCTGCAGGATGAGCTGATCTGCTGGACGCAGGCGTGCATGCCGCCCCGGGAGAGCGCCCGAAAAAGGCATTCACCGCCACCACCACCCCTTACCGCTGCTGCCTCCGGGGCTCAGGGGGGTGGGTGTGGTGCTGCGCTTCGGGGATGGGGAGGGATGTGGTGGGGCGAGGATCTGGGGCAGGGCGAGAGCAGGGAGAGAGGAGGGTGGCTGCAAATACTGAGGCACGGAGAGTGAGCGAATGAGTGAGCGGAGGGATGAGTGGATGGGGAGAGAGACGGCTGGGGGGTGGGGGAGAGAGAGAGAGAGAGAGAGGCAACAGAGAGAGAGAGAGAGAGAGAGAGAGAGACACACACAGCAAGAGAGAGAAGGAGAGAGAGTCCTTTCTGCGATACCTTGAATGTCGCTTCGGCCTGCGTGGGCACTGAAACGTGTTTCAGTGAGAGCCGTGCTCGACGCTGTGAGCGCTCTCCTGGCGTCTCGCACTCCCGAACGGCCTGAGCCAGAAGATTACGGAGAGAGAGCGGGACCAAGGGACAATGATGACCTCAAGGGTGGGAAAGAGAGAGAGAGAGAGATGAGCGAGAAAGAGAGAGAGAGAGAGAAACCAACATAGTTGTTTAGTTAGAGAGCACTTGAAGTGCACATTTCTGCCCTGTCTGTTCCATTGCCTGCTGGGCCCCCCTGGTGACCCGCCACCATCCATTTGTGCATGACATACCTACCTATTTCGGACATCGCCTGCCTTCAACGCGTGGGGGCAGAAACCAGCTGTTGGCCAACATAACTTGCGAGACGAAGCATGTTTGCCAGCGTGGCCCCCCAAATGTTGAGTTTTGATCTGCAAGATATGTGGTGGACGCTATGCGGTACAACTAACTTCGCCATCGATGAGTTGTCAACTCCAAAGCTTGCGCAAACACCCCACCCTCCCACCCGCAACTTGTTTGGCAACACCCGTTCTGCCAAGATTGCGGTTTCCGACTGTAACTTGCTAGCGCATCTCTGCGGCCGCACTGGCGCGCGCAAGCTCACGGGCAGATCGGTAATCTTGTTTGGCGCAGCTGTTGCAGCCGCGATGATGCGTATTGATGGGGACTTCTTGGCGTGTCTCAAAGGCCGCGCTGTCGCACGGGCATTTCAGCGCTGGTCGGTGACCCGGGCGGGCGCGATAGCAGGATGACGTAGACAACGTCGGCAATGATGATGAGACTGATGATGATGATGATGATGATGATGCTGATGCTGCTGCTGCTGCTGATGACGATGATGATGATGATGATGATGATGATGATGATGATGATGATGATGGTGATGATGATGATGATGATGATGATGATGATGATGATGATGATGATGATGATACTACTAGCGACTGTGGTGGCGATGGTGGCGATTACGACAGCAAGGCTAATGACGGCGCCGACGCTAGTGACAATGACAATGACAATGACAATGATGATAATGGTGATGATGGTGGTGATGATGATGTTGATGATGATGATGCTGATGCTGATGATCATGGTGGTGATGGTGATGATGGTGGTGGTGAGACTGATGATGCTGATGGCCATGATGACGGTGATGATGATGATGATGATGATGATGATGATGATGAGGATGATGCTGATGATGATGATGATGATGATGATGATGTTGTTGTTGATGATGACGAGGATGATGACGAGGATTATGGTGGTGGTGATGATGATGATGCTCATGTGCAGGTGATGAGGGTGCTAGAATGATGATGGCGGCACTGGCGGTGAGACTGGTGGAGATGCGATTGCGTTCATGCGGGTGACGGGGAAACCTGCGCGCGCAGAAATTGAAGAAACCTGGCAGACTTGCTGAACAACCAATTGGCCTTACATGTTTCCGAAGATCTTCGTTTTGAGATGCTTCACGAGCCGCTAATTTCGGAAAAGGTTTCGGCACGCGGGCGTGGCGGCGTGCGCAAATGGCCCGCATGGTCTATGTGATACGGAATAGTGCGCTGGGCGCGTGCTAGATCAACGTGGATGTACCGCGTAGTGAGATGATAATGTAGGTTCTGGACGAAATTTCTAAACTCATATGATGATTTCGCCAAGTGCGCGCGGCCAGAACATCGATACACTTTGATGACAACCATTGGGCGACTTGCATATCCAACATGTCTGGTATGATTCGGCATGAGCGCGCGAGTGGGCTCTGTTGTATTGCTTGGGAAATATGATTGGAACATTCTCTTTTTGAGATAGGCGAGCAAGTGTGCGCGCGCTGCGTTATTCGATAGGGTTGAGGGGGGTCAATACGCAATACGGGTTCGGCTCGGATAGTACGAGTTCGGATGGGAAATGAACGATGGGGCAAATTACAGTGCGACAAGGTTGACAGTTAAGCCGGGGCGCAGGAGGGTGGTGAAATAATACATTGAGTTTTTTCCCAACCATCCTGTGGTGTTGGGTCCTCGTTTTGAAGAGACAGCGCCCCGCGTCTCCTTCCTTCCTTCCTTCCTTCCTTCCTTCCTTCCTTCCTTCCTTCCTTCCTTCCTTCCTTCCTCCTCCCCCTTCCTCCCCACCCCCCCCTCTTCCTGTCCGCATGCGGTTCCTCCACCCAGGGCAGCGTTTCGTAGCCCCATAGGGAGCTCCACCGAAGGCCCCAGTGGGGGTGCCCGCATGCGGTTCCTCCACCCAGGGCAGCGTTTCGTAGCCCCATAGGGAGCTCCACCGAAGGCCCCAGTGGGGGTGCCCGCATGCGGTTCCTCCACCCAGGGCAGCGTTTCGTAGCCCCATAGGGAGCTCCAAAGGCCCCAGTGGTGGTGCCCGCATGCGGTTCCCCCACCCAGGGCAGCGTTTCGTGGCCCCATAGGGAGCTCCACCGAAGGCCCCAGTGGGGGTGCCCGCATGCGGTTCCCCCACCCAGGGCTGCGCTTCGTAGCCCCATAGGGAGCTCCACCGAAGGCCCCAGTGGGGGTGTTCGCATGCGGTTCCCCTACCCAGAGGTAGCGCCACCGAAAACGATATTCATATTTGCGGTATTCACAACTGCATATGGTTGGGTCCTTCGCCAGGCTAATTTTGAAAGGAGAACCCATGCCTTGCAAGCTGCGGGGTATACTGATATATGTTTGCGGTGCAAGCTAAGTGGTGCAAGCTATGTGTTGCACGCTGTGTGGCGCAAGCTGTGTGGTGCAGGCCGTGCGGTGCAGTGCATGCGGTGCACGCTCGGGTGGCAGAAGTGTGGTGCAAGCTACTTGGTGCAGCCAGCGCACGCGATACCCACGAGGCGCTCACGAGGCGCCCATGGGCGGCCATGGTCAGCGATTCGGCGAAAACCTGGAACCGCCGCCCTGCGCACCAGGCGAACATCTGGCTCCGCCGGCCGGCGCACCAGGCGCCCGAGCGGCCGGCCGCGGGCGACCACTGGGCGCAACACGCGGAGCCGCCGGCCAGCGATCGTTCGCGAGGCGCCCACGGGCCTCCCACCCCTCGGGAAGAGCCCGACACTGCATGCCCAATTCCCGGATAGCTCCTTGAGAGAGCTGAGGGGTTTCAGAGAGGCCGGCAGGCTGGGCCAGGCCAGCTTGCTGTCCACGGCTGCCGGGCAGGCAGCGCCGCAGCAGGTTGCTCGAGGCTGCAGCCTGTCCCGCCCGCGTTTTCGTTCTCGCTCCAACGCGTGGGCAGCAAGCGTCTGCGCAGCTTCTTCGCAGCGCCTCCTTGGCTCGTTCGCGGGTCCTGAGCAACTCTCGGGCAGCCATTCTTGGGCTCGCGATCAGCGGCCAGGCAGCTCCGAGGCGGCGCTTCCTAGGCTCGTGCGGAGCTCCCAGGAAGCGCTTCCTGGGCCCGCGGGTATCGCATAGACAGCTCCCTGGCGGCGCTTCCGAGGCTCGTGCACAGCTCCTCGGCAGCGCCTCCTGGGCCCGTGGGCAGCGCCTGGGCAGCTTCCACGCTTCCTGGCCTCGTGCGGAACTCCCAGGCAGCTCCAAGACAGCACTTCGTGGGCTCGCGCGCACCTCCAAGGCAGCTGTCGCGCTGCCGTCCGCGCGCAGGCGCGCGCCCGCGCGCCGGTGTGCTACTATTCTTGTTTGGGATTGCACAAGGTTTGTGTAAGCTAAGCAAGAAGCCCCTGACTGCAAGAATTGCGTGAGGGAGCGGAGGGACATCATTCCGGATTCGTGGCCCTGCTGTTGCCTGCCATGCCCGATGCCTTGGCTGTAGCCGCTTAGGTTGCCACAGTTTTGTATGTGCTTTTATGCTTGCTTGGGTGTGACGACTCTGAACAGCACGGGGACGTATCCAACCCTGTCTCACACATGGGGACGATCAACGAGCACGCCTGGTAAGAAATATTCTATTAAGGGGTCTCCCGTAATTTTGAAAACTATACCAAATTATGTTGGACCATACTCGACCTACCGTACTTATTTGGACACTCTTGCGAGTCAGATCGCGAGCAGAAGGAGGATGGTAGCCATCTGGCTGGCGAATCACCCTTTGAATGGGGGTGGTCTTACTGCTTGAACGAGGTGGAGCTCCCGCCATTGCGCCTCAACATGGGCTGCGATGGCAGCTCTAAGCGGGGCAGGTCGCGCCAATCGGCTCTGGTCAAACAGATCAGCCAGAGCTTCGTGCAGACCCTCCGCTCCCTCCACGACGTGCCAATGATACAGAGACTTGGAATAGACTAGCATGTGCCCGTCGCAGCGGACATGGAGACGGCCACGTTCGAGGTTGGCTAGGTGGTCGTGAAGCAGGGCGACCCTGGCACCGATTTCACTGTGACAGACACCGGGCAGACGAAGATGGAGGCGGAGGCGTCCGAGGGTGTCAGCAGCCAGTCTGCCACCCTGAAGGTCGGCTGAGACTTCGGAGAGCTGGCGCTGCTGCGCGACGAGCCGTGGGCCGCCACCGTCGTCGCAGAGTCGCAACTGCTGGCCGCCAATCTCTCGCGCAGCCAGTTCGAGAGCTTAGGCCTGAGCGGCCGGTTGCCCTGTGCAGCGCCCGAAGCGGTCGGCGTGTTGACGGAGGCGTCGGGCAAGAATCAGGGGCACCCCCAATCGCCCATTGATCGCCGATAAGCCCCAACCTGCCGAGGAACGTGCGGATTCACTATCGGGGGCCTATCGCCGATCTGTCGGCGATGCATTGCCGATTCCCGTTCGATGTCCCCCCCTGTGCCTATCTTCCCCTATCGTTGCCCTTCGAAGAAGGTCCAGGAGCACCTGTCGGCCGCACGGGTATTTGGGAAATTGCTTTTTCCAGGGGAAGGGGGCAGCACTCGCATGGGCCCTCGTGGGCACGAGCGTCGTGAAGGGCGCGTCGATGCCGAAGGAGGGCGAGGTCGGCAGCGTGGCTTACGTCCTCTACAGTCGGACGGGGGTGCAAGATCGGGATCGGTTCGGGAGGGTACCCGAAAGTTCTTCGTGCTTGTCGGGTTTTCTTGTGCATCCAGGGGAGGGTACCCTACCCTTGGATGCTCTGTTTGTTTTCGCCGGCGGAGTGTCTCATGTTTTTGAAGGATGTTCTGCTCTCCTTGGTCCACCTGTATAATGGGGAGGCGGACGTGGCCGGGGGGGGGGAACAGCCGCGCCTCGCCGTCTCAGCCGACGGCCAGGCATACTTGTCTGGTGGCTGCAACCCGCTCGACGACATGGCGCAGACCACCAATCGTGGCTGTGGCCTCGGAGGCGGCGAAGGCCCGTATGGTGGACCGCGGCTCGGTCAGCACGCTCCCAGGCCCGTTGCAGGGCTGCGTCAAGAAGCGCTTGCGCATGCCCGACCGCTTCAAGGACCTTGCCAGGTTTGGGCCTCGTCGGCTGCGGCGGTTGCGGCGTCGTGGAGCTGTGCGAGCACAGGCCCACGGGCGAGGGCTACGCCCTGAAGGGCCTGAGCAAAGGCCACGTCGCGAATTGCGGGAGGCGGCAGGCGGTCATGAATGGCAAGAATATCCGGATGATGGTTTCTTCTCCCTATCATCGTCAAGCTGGACGATTGCTACACAAAGAGCGAACAAACGCTTTTTTTCTTGCTGGATCCCGCTTCGGGGGGGCGATCCGCACGCCACCTACAAAAGCAAGAGCCTGTGCGGCAGCGATAAGCGCGCGAGGCATTACACTGCGAGCGCCGCCTTGGTCTTCGAGTATCTCCACGAACGCCCTGTCATCCACAGGGATGCCAAGCTGCAGAATCGGGTGCTCAGCGCGACGGGCCATGCGAAGCTCCGTGACTTTGGCGTTGCGAAACTGGTCGCCGGAGTTGATTGCTAATACCTGGGCGTAATCATGCAGTGGATTGGTGGATCTTGGGCGTGCTGCTCTTCGAGTTGCTTTCAGGAGACCCTGCTCTCGAGTCGCCAATGCATATATATATATATATATATATATATATGCAAGACTGCATTCGCGCTTCGCGCCATGCACCTTGGTCCTTGAAGTTTGGTGTGCAGGCGGAATAGCAGGAAGGTCAAGCCGACAATTTAGCGATAACTCCTTGTTGCCTTTTCCGGCATCGCCGCTATAATCATGTTATTCGTTATCCTTCCTCCATGTTTCTTTTTCTTCATTTTCGCCATACCTTGCGCATTCCCCCCCATCCTCCGCAGCTCTTTTTTGCGGAGGGTCCTGCTTGCAGAGCCTCTGGGGGCCTCACAAAAGTTGTTTCAGGCTTTCTTAAGGCCTTCTGGAGGCCCCTGGGCGCATGGGGCTCTCTGAGGGCCATCTTGGACCCGTGTTGTGCCGTTTTTGGGCTCTCTTAGACTGCCCGGAAGCCCTTTCGGAAGGTTGTGGGACGTTTTTGGAGCCTCCCAGGCGGCTTCGGACGCCCAGAAGACCGCCGTCTTGGAGCGTCGGGAAGCCGAAAAGAGGAGAACCCCAAAATTCACACCTGCAGAAAATCAATGATTTTTGCCTCTTGGGGCCTTCTTGGGAGTGCTCTTGGAGGCCTCTTTGGGACCGTCTTGGAGGCCTTTTGGGCCATCTGGAGGTCACGTCGGTCACTCTTGGAGCGCTCTTATGCTGTCTTGGGGGTCTCTGGGACGTCTCCGATGACCCCCCTGATCGCCTTAGGTGTGCCGCGAAGGCTTGGCAAAACGCCCTGCGAGGCCCGGGGGGCCGCTTCGAGGCCCGTCCAGAGGGTCCCAAAGCCCCAGATCCCGGGAGTCCGGTTGGGGGGGGGTGACCCCTTTCGCGTTCCTCCCAGATTGTCAAAATATATAAGAGGGAGTACATATAAATGATTTTACCGGCTCGCTGCGCCTCGCCTTTAAAATCTTGTTTGCATGGCGCCAGGGAGGCGCGATGAGATCGGTTGTCGTCACAGCCGCGGTGTGTTCTGGCCATGGAGACCATGGAGCAAACAGGGCTGATAAGACCCAGGGAATATTGCGGCTCAAAGAGCTCAGACGGGGTTTCTGCCGTCATGGGACCCAGGGGCTCGGAGCCCCCGTTTTAGGCGAGGGGTAATGCTGCCGATGCGGCTCCAGGGGGTCATGAGACTCACAGGGTTCACAGGGCTCATGGGGTTCGTTGGGGTCATGGGACTGTTTGTGCACATCGGGCACGGGGCTCATGATGCTGAGTGGCTTTTACAGAGGTCATGCGGGTCACAGGAGGCTCATGGTGCTTATAAGGGTCCTGGGGCTCCTTGGAGTCATCAGCTCTTGGGGGCCATTGGGGTCGGCGCCATGGGGGCTCATAGGGCCCGCAGGCGGTATACGGCTCACTGGGCTCGTAGGGCTCAGACGGGGGTCTCATGGGTCTCGCAAGGCTTCGCGGCTCCTAGTGCTGAGGGGGTTCTACGGTTCATAGGCCTCATAGGGGGTCATCGCGCCCACATGGTGTCATGGAGGGTCGGGGGGGTATGGGGCTCGGCTCATGGAGTTCACTGGGCTCCTGAGGCTCGTGGGCTCATAAAGCTCGTGGGGTTTCTAGTGCTCACATGCCTCAAAGGGCTCATCAGGCTCATGGGGCTCATGGAGCTCGGAGAGCTCATAGGCTCGTGGGGCTCGTAAGGCTCATTGGGCTCCTAGGGCTCATTTGAGTAATAGGGTTCGTGGGGGTCATAGGGCTCAGGGGACCCATCGGGCTCACAGAGCTCCTGGGGCTCATAGGGCTCAGACGGCTCATGGGTTCGTAGGGCTTACAAGGCTCATTGGGCTCATAGGGTTCATGAGCCCCGTAGAGCCCATAGGGCTCATAGGGCTCATAGGGCTCATAGGGCTCATAGGGCTTATGGGGCCCATGGGGCCCATAGGGCTCATAGGGCTCATAGGGCTCATAGGGCTTAAGGACTCATAGGGCTCATGGGGCCCATGGGGCCCATAGGGCTCATAGGGCTCATGGGCTCATAGGGCTCATAGGGGTCATCGGGCTCATAGGGCTCAGAACCAGTCCCCGATGCCAGATCGACTTTGGACGGGTGGTCCGAAAACGGTCCCGAGAGGCAGAAACATCGAGAACTGTATCGTCGGGTTTGTATGGTGGATTTGTCTCCTTGTCGTCAAGCCTCAGGCTTCCCTCCTCCCTCCTTCCACCTCCTTGCTCTTTCTCCTCTCCTTGTGTGCCTCTCCCCCAGGAGAGCGGGCTTCGCCTGCGGCTCTGAGTGGAGGATTCGCATCGGGGCACCTTCGGCCGTCTCGTGGCCCTCACGGGGCCCTTGTGATCCGTCTTTCTGGGAGGATCCGCAGAATGCTACGTCACCACATGTGAGCCGAATGTCCCCTCACATGGACTGCACCCCACAGGGAGCTCCACCGACGGTGAAGAGCCAACGTGTGCGTGCCGCCTCACCGCTCCACCGACGGTGAAGAGCCAACGTGTGCATGCCGCCGCACCGTCCATGGCGGCACACCCGTGATCTGGATTATGAGTGGGGGGGGCCCTTCGGGGTCTCGCGGCGTGTGGGGGTGAGAGCTCTGGAGGTGTTAGGGTTCCCAGGCCTTACAGGGCTCATGGGGCACCATGAGGCACCATAGTGGTCGTAGGGCTTGTGGGGCCGACAGGCCTCATATGGCTGATAGGGGTATGGCCTCTCAGGGCTCTCGTGGGGCTCCTGTTGAGGCTCTTTTGGGCTGGCCGTCCTGGGAGGCTTGGGCAGTCTTGGGGCTCTCTTGGTTCTTCTTGGGGGCCTCCTGCGGCCTTCTTGGGGCTCTTTGGGAAGCCTTTTGGTGCTCTCTGGGGCCGTCTCGGGGCTCTCTTGGTTCGTTTTGGAGCCCTTTTGTGTTGTCTTCTGGCTCCCTTGGGGACTTCTTGGGCCGTCCTGGGGCGATCTTGGGCGCCTCTTGGCCGTCTTGGACGCGGTGAAGGCCAAAGAAGCGGATATGCTACAAATGTACGTTTTCCGAAGGGGAATGAGACGATTTTTACCTCTTGTGGGTCTTCTTGGGGGCCTCTCGGGGCGTCTGGAGAGCATCTTGGGCCGTCTTGAAGCCACGTTGAGGCCTCTTTGGGCGCTCATGAGCCGTTCTGGAGCGGTCTTGGGCCGCCTTGGGCCTTTGCGGGGCCGTCCAGGGATGGCCGGGAGAGGCTCCCGAAACCGAAATTCGAATTTGACGTCGGTAGGAGCGCCCGGGGCCGAATTTATGTACGGGGGGGGGGCCGGGGGGGCTTCCGCTATAAGAATATTCGAAGAGGAACATATACACAGACACACACAGATATATGTAGACATATATATATATATACATATACATATTTATATATAAACAGATATA